CAGAACTGTGAGAAGTAAATATCTGTTGTTAATAACTCACCCTGTTTATGGTATTTTGTTATAGCATCACAGAAAGACTAAAACAGAGTTGAAGAGAATGGTGTGGGCTGGGGAAGGAGATGAGGGTTTGAGATAGTAGGGTTTAGAAGAATGCAGAGAAGACCTCACTGAAAAGGTGATCTTCAGGTAGATACTACTAAGAAGTGAGAAAGAAAAGCAAGTGGCTCTTGGGGAAAGAGATTTCCAGGCAGGGGGAGCAATTACAAAGGCTCTGAGGTAGATGATGTGTGTATGGCATCAAGCAGGGCAGGGAGCACAGCAAGAAGAAGAGGGCTGGGGAGGATGTAGCAGAAGGAAGGGCCTGGCAGGTAGAGTCAAAGACCACCTCAAGGACTTCAGCTTGCTACTGGGTGAGACAGGAGCCCCTGGAAGGATCTGTGCCAATGAGGCTGTGGCTAAACCTTCATCTTCTCTTACTGGGATCACACTGACTGCTATATTGAGAACAGACACTGCTAGTGGAGGTAAGGGCTGAAACACAAAACCCAGCTAGGAGTCTCCATAATAACACAGGTGAGAAATGATGCTGGTTTAGACTAAGGTGGAAGCAATGGGGTTGATGTAAGAGCTTGGTTCTGTTTTGAAGGTCAAGATCAGAGGTAGGAGTGAAAGACAAGAGTTAGGGTGATTCTGAGGCTTCTCATCTGAGCAAATGAATACATGGAGTTACCATTTACCCAAACAGAGACAGCTATTGTAGGGGTCAAGGACAGGCTGCCTAAAATGTGCCACTTTTGTCATACTAATTATTTTAAATAAAATAATTTATATTATAATATATATAATATATTAATAATAATTACTTAAGAGATAGCTTGTTCAAGACGGACACTCAGACCCTCCGCTGTCCCAATGAAAGCAGGAAATAAATCTCCCTTGTGAGAGGTGTTCTCCCTGTATCAGGGGATAGAGACATCCTTATTACCAGAGATAGAGAATTTAGAGGCAAGAAGACTGTTTAAATAACCCTTGTGACTTTTTACTAATTTACTACCCCAGCCCAAATTCCTTTTAGAATTCCTTACTAATTAAAGCTCTTGAAGTTAAGGCTTTTTGTCCTGTTAACTCCTCATGGATTTATTGTCTTTGTCTAAAAAGTTTAAAAGCTATCTGCCTTTGTCATTTCTTTAAGTGTCAAAGTTGTTAAAGTTATTATTGTGCCTCCATGTGCACATAATAAAACTCTGTGGGTTTTTTTTTCCTCTTTTTAATTGGTCTCATGTAAATTAAATATTAATACATGTGGAAGACCTTAAAGGGTAGAGAAGATTTTTTTTCCCCCTTCCCTTCACTATGGAGGGGGCAAATGAGAAAGCGAAAGAAGGGAATGGTCAGGAACACACTGGGTTTAAGAGCCCCCATGTAGGCAGGGGCACCAGAAAGGCAGTTGGGTTGGTGCTTTAAGCTGGGATATTGGATGTTCCTACTCTTGAGACAAGGAATGACTGCACAGAGATGAAGAGACAAAAGAGGGAACTCAGGAGTCATGAGAGAATTAGGAGGAAAACCTGAGGGCAGGTATCTAAATGTAGAAGGATTTCCAGTAAGAAGGATCAATTCACTCTACCAAAAGCTCCTGAGAGACCCAAGGTAGGAAGGAAAAAATCAATCCCTGGAAAAACAAGAACAAAGGTGTTCTACCCCTGATGGAGAGTGGAAGGATAGAGCTAGTATTGGCAGGTAAGGGACACCAGGTATCTCCTGTAGTGATGGCAAAGTTCTGCTTCCTCATGGGACAGTGGGACTGAGGAGTTGAAAGCATTACTGGCTAGTCACTGAGTGGTACACTTAGGAATTGTACATCGCACTGTATGCAAAATTTTTACCTTGAAAGAAACCCTGGTCAAAGAGCTGGCTGAAACATGCTGGTGAAAGTACTCCACTGTCTACTATTCCTCTTTGAACTGAACTAAAAAAAAATAAGCTAGACTAATAGAAAGATGAATAAATATCCAAATATGGGATAGAATAAGAATTTTAAAATGCTAATTGCAGAATCTAAGAGGTGAGGATATAAACTTGCCATAAATTCAAGTATTAGGTATGCTTGAAAATTTTCACCAAAGGGGCGCCTGGGTGACTCCGTCGATTAAGCATCCGACTTCAGCTCAGGTCATGATCTCACGGTTTGTGGGTTTGAGCCCCGCGTCAGGCTCTGTGCTGACAGCTAGCTCAGAGCCTGGAGCCTGTTTCAGATTCTGTATCTCTAACCCTCCCCTGCTCATGCTGTCTCTCTCTCTCTCTCAGAAATAATTTTTTTTTTAAAAAAAAGTTAAAAAAAAATTTTTTTTTCACCGAAAAATTAGGGAAAGGAGCACCTGGGTGGCTCAATCACTTAAGTGACTGACTCTTGATTTTGAATCAGGTTGTGATCTCAGAGTTATGAGTTTGGGGTCTGTGCTGGACATGGAGCCTGCTTAAGATTCTCTCTCCTTTTTCGTCCGCTCATCTCCCACTCATGTGTGAATTCTGTCATTCTCTCAGAAAGAAATAAGGAAAGAAAGAGAGAGAGAGAGAGGAAGGCAGGAAGGCAGGAAGGCAGGAAGGAAGAAAGGAAGGAAAAAAGAAAGAGAAAAGAAAGAAAGAAAGAAAGAAAGAAAGAAAGAAAGAAAGAAAGAAAGAAAGAAAGAAAGAAAGGAAGGAAGAAAGGAAGAAAGGAAGAAAGAAAGGAAGAAAGAAAGAAAGAAAGAGAAAGAAAGAAAGAAAGAAAGAAAGAAAGAAAGAAAGAAAGAAAGAAAAAAATGGGGGTGCCTGGGTGGTTTGGTGGGTTAAGATTCCGACTTTGGCTCAGGTCATGATCTCATGGTTCATGGGTTTAGGCCCCATGTTAGGCTCTGTGCTGAATGCTTGCCCAGAGCCTAGGGCCTGCTTTAGATTCTGTGTCTCCCTCTCTCTGTCCCTCCCCCACTTGCACTCTGTGTCACTCTGTCTCTCAAAAATAAATAAAATGCAAAAAAAGAATTGGAAAAAAAAGAAAGTAAAATGGGGAGAAAACGTTATTCAGAGTATAGCATTCACAATCTGGGGGTTAGTGATTTGCTCACACCAAGCCAGGTAAAGGTGAGTTTAACTGAGAATGCATGGGAAGAGAATGGGGACGGATGGCTGGGGAGGACACTGCTTGAAGGAACATTGCTGTAAAGGTGAGAAGGAAACCAGAGTCACTGGGGAGGGTAATGGAGACAAACAAACTGCAGTTTGTCTGTATGCTAATGAGAACAACTTGTAGATATTATGACATGACTTTAAAGGCAACAGGGACAACTATGACAGCAAGGCTCGCACCAGGCCCCAGGACAGAGGGGCCATCTGCAAGGGGAGCACAGACCCAAGCCCAACATGCCCAGACAAAAGGAGGGAAGCGAGGGCAGGTGTGCAAAGGCTAAGGGTAGGATGTGCTCACTAAGGAATATTGCAGGGAAATCCATCAAAGGCTCTGCTTTATTCATTACAGGCAGGTTCTGTGAGGGATCTCATGTATAGCAAAGCCTGCTCCAGGGACACAGAGCAGATGGCTTTAAGTGAACCTAAAACTAAAACTCACCTGCCCAATAACCACCTGGGATTATCCCTTTCCCCACACTTACTTCTCTGACTTCTGCCTTACAAAGAAAGGGAATTTCCCTTATCTCCTGTCTTGGAATATTGACCCAGGAAGCAAACAAAAGGCCTATTTAATATACCAGTGTCTGTGTGAATTGTATTAAAAACTTGGTGACAAAAACTTTCAAAGATCAGGTGGTTTTTAGTTCCTTGCTTTCAACAAAATTGAAAGAGAAATTAAGCAAGCTATTAGCTAATATATTCCTATGAAACTATATTATTTTTGGCATATAATCTGGAAGAAGTTCAAGGAATTGACTAACATTGCTATAATGAAATACCTTTCCTAATGAATGATACACTGCTGCATCTATTTTAAAAAATCATAGGATTGATGATGAAATCTGCATCAGTGTCTCATTTCTAGTAATAAAAAATATCATCATCTACTAACATGTGAATTAACTTAAAATAAAGCCTCATTTTTGGTAGAGAGATGAATGCCACCTTGATGAATCACTGTAATCCTAAATCAATCCAGAAGAAAAAAATAACTTATTGTCTAAAAGGATAATTTTATGTAAATATCTACATTTGAGAGAACCAAGATGGAGTGATTGATAAAAAACCTTCAAACATGAAATTATAGAACATTAGGATAAGGTTCTGTGTGAAAAGTGGCATAGCAATGCAAGTGGAATAATAAAAGGAAGGGACTGTGCAAGATATCTGCAGTTAAAGAAGGCCTTGTTTATATATTTCCTAAATGAATGATATGGGCATCAAATCATTGTGGTATTTAGATTCCACTTAAAATAGATACTAACAGTTTTACTTTTAAATGCCAATATTTACAGTTTGCTGGAAGAGACATCATTTGCAATTTATTAGATTTAGGTGAGAATTTTAGATGTCAACCTAAAAATCCATGAATGGAATACAGCATTTCAGAATTCTTGAAGGGGTCACCAGAGCACTAAGCATGACTGTGATAGCCTCTGGCTTAGGCAACTCTCTAGGATTCCCATGATGCATATCTAGAGGGCATAGAGAGTAAGCAGGTACTCCTGAGCTCTGGAGACCAGTTATGGTGCAGGTTATAGACAGGTTACTGACAATATAGATCTTCATTTTATTACTTGTCTTGCATGAAGTGCTTTTAAAATTTCCCCAAATCACCCTCTAGTGAAATACATGTGTGCACTGAGCCCTGCAGGATGCAGCAAGAAACACCCAAAAGCAGACATTCTACTTCACATATTGACATGTGTGGAGTTAGGGAGGACAGTCCTGACTCTTCTCAGGGGCCCTCTGCTTCCCCTACATTTCAAGCAGGAGTATCTGAGAAGCCACAGCAGGAAGACCCACAGGAGAGGACTGCCCTTGTCTCGACTTACCATTTGCAGCCAAATGTTGGTGGTTAGAACTTGGTTCTTCTCATCCTTCAAAGAAAAAGAAAGAACCATTAATACAGTTTACATGGTTTACAAAAGAAGAATTGATACCATTATTCATGCAGGAATCATACTATTGGGGCTGTGGGAATGCATGGAAACAAGGAGGCACCAAGCACTTCCAAACACACTCAAGGAGCATCTCCCCAGCATTAAGCTTTTCTCTTTATTCTGAAGTAACAGACATTTATTATAGAGCACTTACAAAATGCAGAGTATAAAGAAAAAATTAAAACCTCACAGCCCCACCACCCAGAGATGACACTTTCTAATGATTTAGTTTACTTTCCTTTGTACCCTTTAAAATACACTGTTGGTGGGAATGTAAACTGGTACAGCCCCTCTGGAAAACGGTGTGGAGGTTCCTAAGGAAACTAACAATAGAACTCCCCTAGGACCCAGCAATAGCACTGCTAGGAATTTACCCAAGGGATACAGAAATGCTGAGGCATAGGAGCACATGTACCCCAATGTTCATAGCAGCACTCTCCACAATAGCTAAAACATGGAAAGAGCCTAAGTGTCCATCAACAGATGAATGGATCAAGAAGATGTGGGTTATCTATACCATGGAATACTACATGGCAATGAGAAACAATGAAACCTGGCCATGTGTAGCAACATGGATGGACCTTGAGGGTGTTATGCTGAGCGAAATAAGTCAGGCAGAGAAGGACAAATATCATATGTTTGCACGTATAGGAGGATTAGGAGGAACTTGACGGAGGAACAAGAAGGAGAAGAAGGGGGGAAATGGTAGGGGAAAGGGAAAGAGGCAAACCATGAGAGACTCTTGAATGCTGACAAAAACTGAGGACTGATGGATGTGGGGGGGAGGAGGGATGGGCATGGAGGAGGGCACTTGTGGGGATGAATACTGGGTGTTATGTGGAAACTAATTTGACAATAAGCTATTTGTAAAAAAATAATAATAAAATAAAATAATGTATATGCTTAAAAAATAAAGTTGGGTAAAAATTCCAGTTTTGTAACATCAAGCTTATTACCAGAATGTATAGAGTTTTAAATAAATATAAATGTCTTCCACTTCCCTCCCCCAGGTAAGGGACGATGACCTATGAGAGCCGTGGTACTGTATGCCAATGGTAGTGTGTGGGCCATATTTCTCCCTGGTCCCTGTGGATCTGCCTACCTTTCCTCTAATCTTTTATCTACCAGGAAGCATGCCTGGCCCTTGACACATACCTGCAAGGTAAATTCTGTCCTGATGAGCAAACCAAGTTTCAGAAAGGTGACATGACCCTTTATGAAGGAGCTATTCAAACTTGGATCTTTCTGACTCAAAGCCTCTTTTTCCACATTCTCAAACCACCTAAGGGTGGAGTCCAGCAGGGTGTCAAGTCTGTGTTTTAATCAGAGCTTGGGATAATGTACTAACCATGGAATTTGTACCCAACTTTAGCATAGGACACCTAAAAAAATTCTAGTCAACAACAGCTCTTTTCCAACAGGGATGCAAGCAGTGTTTTACCACAGCTGGTCAAGCCCAACATGGCCTAACAAAAGCCAGTGTGCACAGACCAATGACCAAGTTCCATGCAATAGTTATACTAAGATAGTGGTATTCAGTACTTAGCACTCAATTCCTACCCAAAGGACTCTCTAACCTGGCAACTGCCACTATCTCTAGGAGAAAGTATTAATGCCCCTAAGCAGAGTGCCTAGAAGCTGAGACTGCGAGCTCCTCTAGCAGGAATTACCTGGCCCAGTTAAATGATGGCATACACAAAACCAAACCCAATGGCAGAAAGAACAAGGCATCTGCTGGGGCAGGGTCATAGGGAGGGATGCAAATGAGAAATAAATGCTGTTTCTCATTAAAATAAAAATGAACATGTAAGGAGTTGGCAAATATTCTTTGATGCATCAATGCCCCTGGCCCAGCAGCTCACACTCTGAGCACCTTTGAGATGTGAAACTAGGGGGCAGGGAGGTATCAGAATCCTGAAGAAAGAATAGATAGGGATGCTTGGTGAGGTACAGGGAACAATGTCTTAGTAGGGTCTCAGGCCACACAGCTGCATCCAGAAGTAGATGTCAGTTTGGTTACAGGAAAAATACATCCTATTTTCCAAAATAAAACATGGCAGAGTCTTCTGAGTGGAAAAAGTTATGGAGCTAACACTTCTCTGTACTCTGTACTAAGCAAATGGTCCCCGACAGAGCCATATATTTGAATTGCACGAGTACTCTAGTTCCAGTTCAGTCTCCAATATTATTTGAAAGCATCAGTGAACTCTTTTAGGATACACATCCGTTGCGTCAACTTATTAAGGAGTTGTTGTTTTTAATGGACTTAAAATTAGCCAGTGTTCCATTTGGGTGGCTTTCCTTCTTTTAATTGCATATGTGTCTTCAGCTTCTGAGAAAAAGGCTTCTGTGGTTTGGGAGCTCAATTACTACCAATCTAATTAAAAGGCTTTCTTCTTTCCAACATTCGAACTGAAACCTCATTAGAGTGAAACGGAATTTCTGTGGTGTGTAGCAGCATGGGACTGAAGTGCCGGCATTTCAAACTGTAATCAACACTGAGCAGCAGCCAGCCACCACCAGAGAGCACAATGATGCCAGGTAGGGGAGCCCTCCGTGGAGATTCAAGAGGACCAGCTTACTTATCAGCAAGGAGGCTGCTGTCTGCATTCCGAGTAGGTCTCTTTCCTCCCCACTCCCATCCCATGGCTGCATGCTGTCTGAGGCTCTCAGCTCTCTCAGTCTGCACAGACAAGGTGTCCTACTTCTTCACCATCCCTGGGGTACAGCATCCCCTCCACACCACACACTGAATGTCTGTGTTCCCCTGAAATTCACATGTTCAAACTCAACACCACTGGGAAGCTATCTGGAGGCGGGACCTTTGGAAGGAGATTAGGTCATGAGAGCAGAGCCTCCATGAATGGGATTAATGCCTTATAAAAGAGACTCTAGAGAGCTCCCTCCCTGCTTCTGCCACATGAGGACATAGGGAGGAGATAGCTCTCTGTGAACCAAGAAGCAGGTTCTCACCAGACATCAGATCTGCCAGTGCACTGATCTTGGATTTCCAAACAGCATCACAACTGTGATGGAGAAATGTGTGCTGTTTAAGCCACTCAGTCTGTGGTATTTAAGTTATGGTAGCCCAAGCTGATGAAGACCACTCACAGTCTGACCTCTACTCAGCTCCAAATGGAGCTCTCTGCCTTCCTCCAGCTTCCCTGATCAAAGAATGAAGACTAAGGTTCTCAGTGCAGCACACAACCTTTTCTACAAGTCATAGTCCAGCCAAGTGTTCATTCATTCATTTATTCATTCTTTTATTCACTCACTCAACAAATGTTTACTGAGTACTTCCTGTCTGGGGCATTATGCCATCCAGACATGTAGGTAGGAATTGAACATTGTTCTTGAGCTCATGGAATATAAAATGTGAGTCGTGGGTGGGATTACACAACTCAACAATGATATAATTTCAAAAGGTGATAGGAAAGGAATAAGGCACCTTCAGAGAGGATGACAGCAGTAGATTCCCAAGGATGAGCCTTCACTTTTACACCCTATGATACTGGACCACTAAAAGACATGGATCCCTCATGCCATCACCTGCACCACTTGCCCTTTAAGAGCTCACTCCTCCTCACCTCACAGGGCCTGCCCTTTCCTACCCCTTCCTCCTTTCTCCTGCTCCAGGCCAGGTCCAGATAGGCAGCCCTGGACTGAGGCTGTCTCCTGGCTCACCAGGGGCTCCAACATGGAGCCAGCAACTCAGACAAACCCTGGCTTTGCATAGAAGAATGAGGAGCAGTGAGGAGAGCCAGATTTCAGTTCAACATGAGGAAGAACCTCCCTGGCCTAAAATGGTTCAGCCTACTTCAGAAAGGACATGGCAACCAGCTCCTGGAGTTTTAAACACAGAGGACAACCATCTTCCCAGAGAGGACACAGACACCCTTTGGCGGCCCTCAGAGGGTGAAGCCATGGTGACCTAGGGCCTATGCAGTCTGCAGTGGTCAAGTCTTCCACACACCCTTGTGTCCACACCCACACCTCCTACACCAGCCTCTTGCCCTTCCTTCCTGCCACCCTGAGGACACCCACAGTGTGCTGCTTCCTGAGCCTCCTGCAAGAGGGCTGAAGGCACAATTTCAGCTCACATCCAACTGCCATGCCTCAGGGCTTGCACATCACTGCGCACACTGAGGTGATGTGGAGAACTGGGCATAGAGACTAAGCCTTTGGTATAGAAAGTTGGCAGATGGATCTGCAGTTCCCAGATGTCTCTCTAGCCTCAGGTATTAGGATGTTCCTGGCAGTGCATACAGGAGCTCCACTCCCGCTTCCAGAATCTACTTATTCTACCAAGGAGGGAAACTTTCTTCCCTCTCATCTAAACATCCTCCACTGACAGCAAAGCCACCAGCCTCCTGCACTGCACTTGAGCTTGTTTAAATCCTGAACCGGCTGATGAAGCTGCATTCAGTAGTCTCTTTCCTTGTGACCTGGATGTCACACTGGTCAAACACTGGGATTCCTGTGGGAGGGAGAATGATATCTCCAAACCCTAGTCCAAGGGCCTCTAAATAAATAACCAGCAAGCAGCACAGAATCTGAATATGGTTTCAGTGATGACTCTGCCAGCAGGACAGCATGGCGGAGCAGACCCCATGCCAGTGGAAGACCCTCCAGACTCCAATCTCAGCCCTCCAATCTCAGGTACTCAGTTTCTATGGGGTTCAATTTTCTCTCCTAGGAAATAAGGAGACAACAGCTTTCTTGACCACTGCCCAGAGTGGGAGAGGTAAGGGCAGCCTCATATAAGCTATGACATGTGACTCAGTGCCAGTGGCTGTTCTTGTGGGGCTGCCCTCACACACATAGTTCTTTTGCAAGACCCATACTCCTTCCTGACCCTGGGACCACACGAGAGGACACACGACCCATGGTTGCCATGGAATCACAGGAGGCCCTTGTGACAAAGCACCCCCAGAGTC